CCCCAAAACCCCAAAACCCCAAAACCCCAAAACCCCAGTTCATAAAAATTTAATTGAAAATAATATAATTTATCTTCTGTTTAACTCCAAACTAAGTCCTTCTCTTTAAGCTATTTCAAATGATGATTCTTTATCTAAGCCACTTGCACTTTTCGATCCTTCTATCTGTTTGGAAACGGTATGCTGATTCTCTGTTGAGTCTCTGAAAGTGAGCATTTTATTGGACTCGCTTTCTTCATCACTAAGCTCCTTTACTTCTTCAATGACTTCTCCTCTAGAGTGAAGTCTCTTTTCTCCATTCATCCTCTCTTCGTATTCATCTATTCTCTCTGCCCAGTTAGCTCTGTTTTTATTTCATATTCTTGATATTTTCCTCAATGCTTTTTAAGAATCCTGAGAAACATTCGAAGGAGGGTAGCACAATGACATCAATAAATCCAAGCTGGGCTTTGGCAATGTTTACAGATTTCCTATCCATCAGATCGCTTATGGGGTAATTAAACTTCTTTTCTTTATCTCCTTGCTTGAAGAATTCATCAAAAAGCAGTTCAATCCATTTATGGGTTAAGTGCCAAGGCTTTGTCGGGTTGCTAATATCAGCCAAATGCATTCCCATTCCTAGACACAAGTGGAGGTCTTTATCAATTGGGTCGAGAGAATTTGTGTTCATTTTACTTTTGAAAGTTCCGAGGTCTTTGAAATGCTTACTCATATCTGTTGCGAGAACCATATGGACCATTCTTTTACGTACTTGCTTCTTATCTTCTTTATCCATTTTTCTTAAAATATCATATTGAGGTGTTTTCAAAAGATCTGATGCTGAAGCAATATGATGGTTCTCAAGAACTGACTCATCATTATATCGAATAGCAAGTTTATCTGAAGAATTAATTAAGTACATGTTGTTGACTCCTGGGTGCTCATAATCATGAACTGAAGCTCCCAAAATCATTGATAATAAATCCAAATTTCCTAGTTGGGAAAGAGTGATCCAATTTCCTTTAACCATGAATCAATAAAGAGTTTGACAAACATCTGCTGCGTGTGTGGCATTATGATAAGGGACTTTAGCATCATACCCAGAAGCTACTTTATCTAGGAGAATAAGAAATTCATTTGGTTGAATTCCTAGCTCAGTATACAGAGAATGCTTATTTAAAAGCAAAGATGCAACTGTTGTGAGTTCTCTATTTTCTGTCTTTTCTTTAAAATCAAAAATATCAAAGTCCAATGTCTCAAGACTTTCCATTACTTCTGTAATGTTAAATTTAACATCTAAAAGAGAGTCCAAATTATGATTATTAGTCACAGACATAATGATAGTTCCTGATTCATTCGTTTCTCTTCTTAATGTGAAAACGTTAGAAAATGAGCGGATCCATGCATGCTCTTCTCTTGGATTAACTTTATTCCTTCTTCTCTTCAATGATTTGAGTTCTTGTACTTGAACATCTACCTGACTTCCTTGGTCTAGATCTCCTTTAGCAATATGCTTCATTCAATATTTTAGATCGCTATTCACTCTATCGTCACTGATAATTTCAATATTCCTCATTAAAATTTGGACAATTTGATCTGTAGTTGGATGATCTCCATTTTCTATCTCTAAATTCTAATTTAAAACCAAATTTAAGCTCTATTCAAAAATTAGTAATACTCTTTATTTTCATGTGAAATTTTAAGATTAGCTAGTTTCAAGATAAATACAAACAATAAGACAGAACTTACCTTGCCTGTATTCTTCCTCTCTAATAATTTTAATATGGTGATGGATATGCTCAATGATAATTGGTATATACACAAGTCTCAATGATCCTCTCATTCTTAGGAGAACACTAACAGTATAGTTAGTAATAACGATATCAAGAAGCCAAAATACAAAAATGAGTGCAACAAACATTGAATTAACAATGTTAAATTTATTTTCATAATATTTCCTCTTAAAAGCATATCTAAACAGTACGATTTCTAAGATGAACAAGGAAATAAAGACACTCTCAATAGCATGGAATAACACCCCGTTAGATCCCTTGTCGAGGTCTTCGTTGAGCGAAGTCATGATTATTGTTATCCCGAAGTAGATAATGATGACTAAAGCTCTGCAGATATTTATCCATGGAATTTGTAGTTCCTTTGCAAGTGATTTCCTCACTCCAGTAATATTCTCCTCTTCAAATTCAGAAGATTGCATTGACATTATGTTTCTTCTTGGTGCAATAGATGTCCGTTTAGAACTATAAAAACAAATGATCATTGTTTTAATTTAAACTAAAAGTGAAGAAAATAATTGAAACTCTCTTTTTGATATGCATAATTAATCGAGTATGCTAAATCTTAAAATTCCTCTAAGAATTAATTTAGGACAGACTCAAATATCTTAAAATTGTGTGCGCTCTCTTTTGTTTTCCTGACAAATTCCCAAATCTTAAGTTTCAGAAAATATTAATTCATATAAGGTAGAAATGTGATAGCATCAAGTATGCTTTAGTTAAAATTTATTCTATAAACCATCTTTTCAAACTTTTAGGAAAATATTTTAGGCCGCACAGTATAGAGAAAATTTTAGAGAGCTAATTTTGTTCAGACTTGGTTTCTGACAGTCTTAATTTTTGTCTAACAATCCCTAGAGCCATTGATATATTTTGTTTTTACGAGGTCTACGCCAACTTTTGAAATTGAAGAGAAAATTTACTTTTAATGAGAAAATATTGCTGATTTGGGAGAATATATTATTTCAACTATTTTGGACAATAAAATAAGTAAATATCACTTTTCTCTTTTTCTAATAACATTATAATAGCAGATTTTGATATAGCTTTTAATACCTTCATATAGAATGAATAATTTAAAACTATTATTTAAATTTTACCTTGGGAGATTTAAAGTGAGAGTTTTATTCTTTACGCTCCTAACTCCAGGAAGCTTTAGTTTCTCTCTTCCAGGAAATTCCTCCATGGAACTCTCTGAAAAATCATTTAGGTCGTTTTCTGCTGCATTTCGAGGAGAATTTATCATTTTTAATTTATCTGAAGCATTGATCTTGGGAGCTTCAGAATATCGCCTCGGGTTAAATATGTTCATTTTTAAATATATTCTATACATCACCATCTTTCTGGGGTTTTGGGGTTTTGGGGTTTTGGGGTTTTGGGGTTTTGGGG